CTTTCCCTTGGCCTCAGAGGAACAGCCCAGAGTTTAACTAGCTGCCTTAGGGTTTCTAACCGTCGTGTGTTGTAAGGGTGCAGGCTTCGCCTCCAGCCCCTGCCTTTCTCTGTTAGGTGACGGCAGGGAGCCGCATTCATACCCTGCCCCCAGCGCTTTCTCGCTGGCTCTATGACCCCTGACCCTAATGTTCTCATCTGTACAGTGGGAGAACCTACCTCAGGTTATTTTCAGGCTTCGAGAGGAAACTGTTCCTGATGGTCCCAAAGCCTGGCCCCTCGCTCCATCACTGGGGAGACTGGGGCTCTCCTCTCGCTCTCCTCAGTGGAGTCCAGCTGTAAAGACTGCATCCAGTGGGAGAGGCGAGGGCAGTCGTGTTTCTGTGGACGGCGGCAAGCAGGAGCCATCCTGGTGCCCTGCGTGTTCAGGAAAGACTCTCTAACCATGTGAAAGGGGCTGTCTGTCACGGGTGGGGCAGAGATGGGGTTCCTCTGGAGGTGACACTCAAGTCCCATGTCCTTTTCCTACAGCGTGGGTCCCGAGATTTGGGTCACAGTAATGCCATTCTCATGATCTTACTGTAACCACACCCGGTCTGTAGTTTACTTAATAACTTTCTGTACATTGATGTGTATTGTAAGAGGAAATTGTTTGACCATCACAAATGAAGAGTCATTCTTCGAATAGATGTTGAAATAGACCCACAGTGATGTTTAGGAAAATGAATTTGTTTGCCACTTACTAATCCCCTCCCCAGACCACACAAAGACACCACAGTAAAACTACAGACCAACACCCCTTATGAATATAGAGGTTAAAAACCCCTCAGCAAAATACTAGGATATGGAAAACATGTTTCCGTGGTGGATGAATAGATAAACAAACTGTGGTATATATACATCCAACGAGATATTATTCAGCCATAAAAAGGAACAAAGTACTAAAGGGTCCAGACTGCAGTACGGATGGGAAAGAATGCCACGTGGATGAAACAACCACGTGTTATAGGATTCCATTTATGATCTGTCCTCATCCTGTGCAGATTCTGTGTTTGTGAACTCAGTCCACTTTGTTTGTAACCCAACATCAGTACGCAGGGCCCTTTCACAATCGTTTGCAGACGTGCACAGGTTGCCAACGCATGTTCCAGACGAGGCTAAGTAGGCACTGCTCTGCCTGCTTGTTTCAGCTCACGCTGTGAACAAGCGTGCTTTTCATGGTCTATTTAATGCCACATTTTCCACATTTTTGAACTTTTTTGTTTTGTGAAATTGTATTAAAATACACACAACATAAAATTTAGCATCATAACCATTCTTAAGTGTTCAGCTCAGTGGCATTAAATACATTCACAGCGCTGTGCAGCCGCCACCATCCGTCCCCTTTTCATCTTGTAAAACTGAATCACTCTGACTTTTAAACAGTAACTCCCCATTTCCCCTCCCCCAAACCTGGCAACCACCATTCCACTTTCTGTCTCTAGGATTTTCACAACTCTGAGTACCTCCTATACGTGAAGTCATACAGGATTTGTCCTTTTGTGCCAGCTCATCTCACTGAGCATCATGTCCTTCAGGTTAATCCATGTTGTAGCCTGTGTCACCATTTAGTCCTCCTTCCATTCTGTGATCGTACCACATTGTGCTTATCCACTCATCCGTTGAGGAACACGTGAGTTTCATCCACATTTAAGCTATTGTGAATAATGCTGCTGTGAACATGAGTGACAAATATCTCTTTGAGACCCTCTTTGAGTATAAACCCAGAAGTGGAATTTCTGGGTCATGTGGTAATTCTATTTTTGAGGAACCCGCATACTGTTTCCCACAGTGGCTGTTCCATTTTACGTCCCCACCAACAGTGTGTAACGGTTCCAGTTTCCCCACATCCACACCAGCACTCATTGCTTTCTGGTTTTTGGATAATAGCCATCCTGATGGGTGTGAGGTGGTAGCTCATTGTAGTTTTGATTAGTGTTTCCCTGATTACTAGTGGTGTTCAGCATCTTTTCACTTGCTTAATGGCCATTCATAGGTATTCTTTGGAGAAATGTCTATTCAAGTCTTTTGCCCATTTTCTACTAGGTTGTTTGTTTTTGGTTGTTGAGTTTTAGGAGTTCTGTATTTATCTGGATATTGATCCCTTATCAGATATATTATTTGCAAACATTTTCTCCCATTCTGTGGGTTGCCTTTTACTCTGTGGATTGTGTCTTTTGATGTACAAAATTTAAAATTTTTCCCAAGGTCCAATTTGTCTAATTTTTCTTTTGTTACCTGTGCCTGTGGTATCATATCCAAGAAACCATTGCCAAATCCAATGTCATAAGACATTTGTCCTACGTATTCTTCTAAGAGTTTTATAGTTTTAGGTCTTCAATGTAGGTTCTTGATCCATTTTGAGTTAATTTTTGTGTACAATGTTAGGTAAGGGTTCAGCTTTATTCTTTTGCATGTGGATATCCTGTTTTCCAACACCATTTGTTGAAAAGACTGTCCTTTAAACATTTAGTGGTCCTGTCACCCTTGTAAAAAATCATTTGACTATATGTGAGAGTCTATTTCCAGGCTCTCTATTCTATCTCATCAGTCTCTATGTCTGTCTTTATCTCAATATCACACTGTTTTGATTACTGTAGCTTTGTAATAAGTTTTAGAATCAGGAAGTGTGAGTCCTCCAGTTTTAGTCTCTTTTTCAAGATTGTTTTGGCTACTCAGAGTCCTTTGAGATTTCATATGAATTTTAGGATGGTTTTTCTATTCCTGCAAAAAAAAAAAAAAATAGCATTGGGATTTTGACAGGGATCACTTTGAATCTGTAAGATTGTTTTGGGTAATCTTGGCATTATAACAATATTAAGTCATCCAATCCATGAATGTAGGATATATTTCCATTTATTTATGTCTTTAATTTTTTTCAGTAGTGTTTTAAGGTTTCATTGTATAAGACTTTCATCTCCTTGGTTGTTAATTTCTAAATATTTTATAAATTTTGATGCTCTTATAACTGGAATTGTTTTTGTAATATCCTTTTCAGATTGTTCCTTGCTTATAAATAGAAATGCCACTGATTTTATGTGTTGACTTTGAATATTGCTACTTTGATGAATTCATTTATTAGATCTAACAGCTT